CCATCGCTTGTAGGTATAATTCAGTAGTTTAACACACTAGATTCTTCTTTACCACCACTTGTAAGTATAATTCAGTAGTTATAACTCAACAGATTCTTCTTTACCATCGCTTGTAGGTATAATTCAGTAGTTTTAACCCATCAGGTTCTTCTTTACCACCACTTGTAAGTATAATTCAGTTGTTTTAACACACCAGATTTTTCTTTACCATCGCTTGTAGGTATAATTCAGTAGTTTTAACCCATCGGATTCTTCTTTACCACCACTTGTAGGTATAATTCAGTTGTTTTAACACACCAGATTCTTCTTTACCACCACTTGTAAGTATAATTCAGTTGTTTAGCCCACCAGGTTCTTCTTTACCATCGCTTGTAGGTATAATTCAGTACTTTTAACCTACCAGATTCTTCTTTACCACCACTTGTAAGTATAATTCAGTACTTTTAACCCACCAGATTCTTCTTTACCACCACTTGTAAGTATAATTCAGTTGTTTTAACACACCAGATTTTTCTTTACGTTCACCTGCAGGAACCTACTTTGCTTGCATCATGATCATGGTAGCGTTTTCTGTCGTCATGACAGTGGTTGTTCTAAACTATCATCACAGAAGTCAGGATACGCACGAGATGCCTGATTATGTAAGTATTTCTACTTCTTTTATAAGTAAACTTACCAGTAATGTAAGTATTTCTACTTCTTTTATAAGTAAACTTACCAGTAATTCAATTAAGAAAACGAGATGGATAACATTATTTTCTGAAAAAAAAGTAAATATGCCTGATATAAAATAAATAATGTGGTGTACAAAAGACGTATATAATCCGTTACTTACCCATTCGAGTGTATATAACATAATTATTTCATCTTATGAATACTGCTGTGTTGTAAATAACGTACTTTTTTAATATCATGCATGCTCCTTTGCTTTGCCCGTTTTATTGGCATCTTTTCCTAACTCTCTGTTCAGGAACGCTAAAATCTGGGGTTTCGATACCCAACGGTAGGCAGTGCGCAGATAGCCTATCGTGAGGCTTTGCGCTTAAAAACAAATACGCCATAACTCTCTAACTGACACCTAGTGGTGAATCCCACAGTTTGAAAGCTAATTACTTTCTATACTAATACACACTTTTCAACATGAATAAACACACTACCAACAAAAGCATGGCCTAGATATGGGCTCACACCCCTATCAACAGTGTTCAGTTACCTCTGTATAGAACACTTCTTATATAACGCCCTCAAAAACAGCCCTTCTAAGACCCAGGGTTTGGCTCAGATGTGTTGATGATACGTTCGAAATATGGCCACCCACTACATACAAGATTACAGAATTCATAGACTACCGGAATAAGCAACATCCAGTGATACAATTCATTATAGAAATGGAAGAAAAGATTTAAAAAAACCTTCCATGTGATCACGGTTTGTTTTGTAAATAAGCACAAAGCTACACAAAGAACTATCTGTGCTCTGCCCACCACGGGTATCGAAACTCGGTTTCTAGCGGTATAAGTCCGGTAACATACCCCTGAGTATGTTACGGAAAAATACAATATCCGATTGCCACAACCTCCATACGTTCACATTGTGTGTACACGTTGGTTTATGGTTGTGCTTATATTTGAGGACAGTAGTATATATAACTTTGGTTATATAATTTATGTTTTATTTGCTTTGTTTACATTTTTAGCGTTATGGAAGGTTCGTTTTATATATATAAATCTAATTGCTTGGCAACATGTTTCGACTTGTTTTAGGTTATCTCGTTCCAAATGTATCTTTTTGAATGATTTCACTATAGCGGAGTTTTGAATATCAAAGCATTATTCTTCACAGTGCACTAAATCATTACATGCCAAATTTCGTCTCTTACACGGTTAAATATCACTGTACCATCTGGTTTGTTTTCGCATCATGATGTATAATATTTCTGAGCTAATGGTGTGTTCTTAATCATGTGGTATTCGTTTACATTTTCTGGGTGATTTGCAAGCTGTCTGTAGAAAGTTTGCTTTTGATCGAGATAACCAGTCCCAGCATTTACTACTGTGCTGCATAATGTATATGAACTGCGAGAATTCGGGCAATTTCTCTTGTGTCCTAGAAGACGACTATGATATGACGAGGTGTGTTTACACAAGCAATGTCACTACAAAATATCAGGAAAAAGCAAACAAGTCCTAGCTTCCACATTCATCGATCTCACGTGTTATTATTAACAACGTTTTCAAACAAACAGACTCGGACCACGAAATCCCAGTTATATCAAACTTAAATATACTTCTCTTCAAATTCATCACACATGCACATGATTATAAAGTCACAGTATTACTGGTATCAGAGAGTCTGTAATTTTTTATATAAATATATCATGCAATTACGGTGACACAGGGCTTATACCTTTGTTGTAATAGTATTACAGGATGAAAAGGCCTTTAATTTTGTTCTTTTAGTATTTCAAGGGGATATAGAGGCACAAAACGTAGAATTTTGGTTCTGTAATACTACTGCAGCAAGAGACCATGAAATCTAGGGTTGTTTTGTTGTTGCTGTTATTACAATATACAGAGGCCCCTGAGTCATGATAACTGAGATGTAGTGTTTCAATGTTACAGGAGTAAGACGTTAAAGCATCTTTATTTTGTGCCTTTAATATTACTAGAAAATAAAGCCACGGAAGTATAGTTTTCACATTGTCCTGGAAGACACAGCAGCTTATATCTTTGCTATTTTAATACAACAAGGTTGCACGATTAAGACGTTAATATGTCTTTATTTTTGTTCCTGTAATGTTACATGTTAGTTCTACCCAACGGGGTGGAAACTTGGACTCTGCTGGCTGAAATAAAACGACAGTTGGAAACATTTGAAGTGTAGTATTATAGACGAATGATGAGCATCAGCTACATTAAAAGAAACACAAACTAATGAGAAATATTAGTAAATACAAAACGACAACTGCTGAGTATATGTAGTAACTGGAAAATGCGTTACTTTGGGCACATAATTAGACCTGAGGGAAAGTTGGCAAAGGTTCTAATAGGTAAAATCAAAGGAAAAAGAGCAAGAGGAAGAGAGAGACTCATTTGGCTTGATAACATTAGAAAATGAGTTGGAGATGAGAAACTTGAATTAGGAATGTTGGTGCAGGCAGCGAGGAATAAAGAACACTAGAGAAAAATAGTTGTCGAGCCTCAGAATTTGGGGAGATACCATTATTAATAGAATAATTCGTGGTTATGGAAGCACAAAGTTTAATCTATACAATGTCCCGGATGACACGGGGGCTACTTTGTTTTGACGTTATTGTATGGGGCATGAACCTGCGGAGAGAAAAAATTGGTTAAGAAGTCATATTATTGATGTTTTTGTTTTAGCAATATTACATTGGACTCGAGTCGCGGGAATTTGTTTTTGTTTTTTATACAGAGCTACAGGGGATAAAATAATACGGAGTTAGAGCTTTTATTTCTTTTTCCAAACTACAATAATGGCAAGAAACTACAAATATTTGAGCTATGGGTTATTATCAAACCACTTAAATTGAGATATTTTCTGAAGAGAAACATTGAAACCAAGTTCTTCTTTCACTATCTGAGTAAAGAAATTGTGATTTGAATCAAACTTATACTTAGTATCGTTAATTCCGCGTTTAGCGTATGATTTGCATTCTTACTAAGGTTTGTCTATATTTAGTTTATAAACAAAGATTTTTATGATTCGCTATGAAACACCCTCGTGCTTTCTGAAAGGCCAGGCATGGCCAGGTGTTTAAGGCGCTCGACTCGTAATCTGAGGGTCGCGGGTTCGAATCCTCGTCCCACCAAACATGCTCGCCCTTTCAGCCGTGGGGGCTTTGTAATGTGACGGTCAATCCCACTATTCGTTGGTAAAAGATTAGCCCAAGAGTTGGCGGTGGGTGGTGATGACTAGCTGCCTTCCCTCTAGTCTTACACTGCTAAATTAGGGACGGCTAGCGCAGATAGCCCTCGTGTAGCTTTGCGCGAAATTCAAAAACAACAAACAAGCTTTCTGAAATCAGGAATTAATAGTAATTCTGTTGTCTCGTGATCTAAAATTCCGTTCATAAATTAGTTATTTCCTTTCATTAATACTAACTTACGATATGATATCACTATAACACAGTAAGTCTTGTGGGAATATTTCTTTAATAAACACATCAAATACTGAATACTACAATAATAAAGCTATTCGAAACACTATACTTTTACACGTACTTTTTGTTTCAGCATTTCCGTAAAAAGCTACTCAAAGAGCTGTGTATAACCGTTCTTAGTCTTAAACTGATAGACTGATGGAAGGCAGATATTCAAAGCACCAACTGCCATGTCTTTGATTACTCTTGTCTGACGGAATAGTGGGATTTTTAGTATCACTCGTATACCGCCCCCACTTTTCCAAGCCGTCAACAGTGAGTCCTCGGATTCGTAGACCGCGCAACTTAATCATTAGGCCACGCCCACCCTCTCACCTCTTATATTGATAGACGCTCTTCTCACACACACTTACATGTAATAAACTTGACAGACTTTCTTCTCTCTCTCACACACACACTTATGTGCAATTAAATTGATAGACGGTCTTCTCTCACACACACTTATGTGCAATTAAATTGATAGACAGTCTTCTCTCTCACACACACACACTTATGTGCAATTAAATTGATAGACGGTCTTCTCAGACACACACACTTATGTGCAATAAAACTGATAGACGCTCTTCTCTCTCACATACACATTATGTGCAATAAAACTGATAGGTGCTCTTCTCTCTCACATACACATTATGTGCAATAAAATTGATAGACGCTCTTCTCTCTCACATACACATTATGTGCAATAAAACTGATAGATGCTCTTCTCTCTCACATACACATTATGTGCAATAAAACTGATAGACGCTCTTCTCTCACACACACACTCACTTATCTACCTAAATATTGAGTTTCAAGTAACTAGGCCAAAGTAAAATAAACGTGCAGATATTGGACATAAAATTAAAACAAGAGTGTCAACTACGGGTTTGGAAAGTACAATCTACTCCAAAAAGTGGTAGGTATACACCGTGTTTTGGTTTGAATTCATTTTTGGAAGCGTCATATGTGACATAAGATTAGACTTTCAAAATTAGGATCAAACATGTGTACTCAAGCCCACATCTTCATCTAACATTCACCGTTTACAAACGGCTGTGAGGAAGTAGCCGTTTCTATTAAAAATAAGGTTATTAAACAGGCCACTAAGGGCGACAAGCAAATAATATCCCCTGATACTGATAGATAATATTTACTTAGCTGATTGAATGAAACCTAAGGCGATTAGGTCCGTATATGTTATAATAAGAAAAAGAAAATGAGAATTTTAGTATCGTAGTGAGCCTTCTCATCATGTGTGTATGTATATACATATAGAAAAACTAAATTAAGTTTTTTTTATCAGTACATGTTTTAGCATTACTTATAGAATCACCCAGTTATTTAACCATCTATTTCAAGCTACAAAACGTAATAATATGACCTGGGTTAAAATATTTATTAATTAATAGGAATATTTCATGTTGTTTGATAATAAATATCTAGTTGAAACTTTTATTACCATCGTATTATAAATTACATTCACAGCGTTGATCTATTTAAAAAAAAAAACAATTGTGAAGATGGATGACTCAACGTTCTCACAGCAACGCTGTCTTCCACTCACGTTCTTCGTAAAAATTGAAAACATGTCAGACATAACGTCTTCAAAAATAAATCATATCTTCATGGCTTTCAAGAAGCTTCCTTAGTTGTTTTTTCTGCTGTTGTTTTTTTTCTTCCTTTGTTATCTGTTGTTGTTGTTGATTCCATTAGAAAAAGAAAAATTATAGAAGCAGTATAAAACAACCCCAAAAAAAGACATTCGATGTGTATAAAACGGTAATCCAAGATAAAACACAAGCTTGCATTCACCGTGTTCAAACACAACTCTTCACTATCGAACTCATTTTCCATTTCTGTGTTTATTAAAAGAATTATAGATGATAACTGTTATTAATCGTCTAATGATAAATTTCTTCCTTAACAAGTTTCAGTGATTAACAGATTAATTATAGAATATAAACTATGGCTCCATCCGAGTATGAAACTATATAATTCAATACTACATTAATCAAATACAAGTTGTGACTGTCTGACTGTAGAACTGCATAATTCAATACTGCATTAATCAAATACAAGTTGTGACTCTGTCTGACTGTAGAACTGCATAATTCAAAACTACATCATTTAAATACAAGTTGTGACTGTCTGACTGTAGAACTGCATAATTCAATACTACATTAATCAAATACAAGCTGTGACTCTGTCTGACTGTAGAACTGCATAATTCAAAACTACATTAATCAAATACAAGTTGTGGCTCTGTCTGACTGCATAATTCAAAACTACATTAATCAAATACAAGCTGTGACTCTGTCTGACTGTATAACTGCATAATTCAATACTACATTAATCAAATACAAGCTGTGACTCTGTCTGACTGTAGAACTGCATAATTCAATACTACATTAATCAAATACAAGTTGTGGCTCTGTCTGACTGTAGAACTGCATAATTCAATACTACGTTAATCAAATACAAGCTGTGACTGTCTGACTGTAGAACTGCATAATTCAATACTACATTAATCAAATACAAGTTG